GAGAGAGGACGGACGATGCATACAAAACAGGGAGACCCTCAGAAGTCTTTTTAAACCGGCAATAACTCATTTTTATTGGTCTAGTTGTGGGCAGCGGAAACAAGTTGTGATTAACGTATCATCCCTTCTACAATGACACAGTTAACTTGTTAGAACTGTTTGCTTATCTACACATCCAGCAGATACGGAGCACCATTATCATTCATTTAGTTTTTGACCATTTGGTGAATATAAGTCAAAGATGTACTCTCTTTTAGCTCTGTTTTGGTTCTCTACCAACTACTGAGGGAAATATCTGAGCCTTTAGCTGCTAAATCATCCACTGTGTTCACCATCTAATCTCTAATTGTGTCTGTCTGCTGTTGACTAGGTAGTGTACAGTGGGTTTTCTGAGCTTTTTCCACGACTATTCCAAGTATGACAATATCCCAAATTTGACACTCGTCATGTAAACAGCATATTCTGTTTAGACATTCCAAATTAGACCTTTTTCCAAATGCAGCATCTTCCGATTAAGACACATGGGATATGCCGGTACTATTCGGGTTTAAGGAGCCATCTTTGGACATGTATACAGAGCAAGCAGTTCTGACATGCATCTCAACTGGGATTCTTACCGTAGATTGTGTCACGAAGCATCTTGCCTGTTTATGGTCGGCTCTGTGCCTTGTCATGGGCGCTGTCCACACATACCAACTAGCCAAGAGTTTGCAGGGCTGAGGTAGAGATGACTGCCAAAATTAAAAGCCCACATTTCTGGCTGGAAGAAGAAACACACCTACTTTTAAACATTATGAAAGACTAGGACAGGGATATTCGACTTGCTTTGCTTGGGGCCACTTTTGCAAAGTGACAGGAGGCCAGGGAGCAGTTGCAGCAGTCATACTTGTACACAGGGGCGTTTCAAGGAATTTAGGACATTAGGGGCTCAGCTAGGACCTCTGTCGGGGGTTGCGGGGCATTCTCCACTGACACTTTTTTTGAGAAACAAGCTCTATTTTAAAGCTTTGTTTATGCATTCTGTCACCTTATGTACACTAAAAGTAGGGCTGGGTGATATATAAACGACTATGTACGATATATCGATATATTTTCAAGCAAGATGTAAATTCAGACAACACCGTTTATATTGATATAGGGTCATTTTTGTCTATATCACCCAACCCTAACTAAAAGAACAAAACAATTTGCAGTGTAAATCAATTTATTTTCATTTTCATTTATTTATTTGTGAATTAGAAAATGGTTGGAGGGCATCCAGAACCCTATCCAGAGACAGATTCGTCCTGGGGACCCTAAGTTGAGCATCACTGGACTAGGACATTAACAGGTTTTTGGATATGTGCAATTATGCAACACCGACCTTTTCAAGAAGGTGGCTGAAGGGATAAACGAGGGAGGCTGTGTTCACATGGTTAAAGAAGTTCGCCACTGGTTGGATACTCTGAAAAAAATCCTATTTTGATCCAAAGGACCAAAACGACACAATTTTTTTTTTTTATATTTTGTTGTGATAAACAAGCTGTTACGGCACATTAATCCAAGTATGCACACCTGAATGTAAACAGGAATATTAGTGGGACACTAATTTCACACAAACAGCGTAGTAGGAATATTGTCTTTCTTGGAATAAGGACAAAAAATGGAGTGTTTTGTGCATGTAAACACTGAGCATGAAAACAACTCTATGAGAGCAGCGAGAATGAACCAAAGCAGAGAAAATACCGACTAGACAGCTAAACAATGCTGAAACAAAAGCCGAAACTCACTATAAAGCTCTGTAAAGCAGAGGGAGCTGCAGATTCAGATGATAATTCTCTATAGGTTCATCACGATGAGCTTTCCCTTTCATTTTGTTATTATAAACATATCAATTATAACCGAGTTAATGTCTGCCACTAGCCACTGAAGCAGTCTGGGCGTTGCAGTCAAAGATACTTAAAGCAGCTAATTCTGTAATACTGTTTTACTGTTACAGATTAAAGCAAGAAGCGGTAATGACTCTGATAACTAGATTTTCTCCAGTCTTACTGTAGCATGCAAAACCTTGAGGCAACATCAGCACGTAAACAATTTCATTTCCCCTAGAAACAAAGGCCACTTGAAAGAGAGAATAAGCATATCTGGCTTTCTGTGGTGATTCTGTCATCAGCAGAAAGATAATAAGGCCACACTGACAGTCTCCTCTGAAGGGTAATCTTCTGCAGGTGCCATCATTCTGCATTAAGCGCAAAAGGAAGGACAGGTACTTTCCAGGGAAACGGGTCCAAATATAGCTCCCATTTCCAGTAAGGAAGACGCACAACATCGTCTGGCCTAACGTGCAGCCCCTTATAGAGACAAACACACAAACAGCCTCATACTGACAGCCTCACAGGCTGCACTGTTTGGATCATCTCAGTATCATCAGACGAGTTGTGTTGTGACAATATAGCTGCAGCTAATTGATTATTTTGACAACCATTTCCTTAGTTAGTTGATTAATCGTTTAATCCTCCAAATGGCAGAAAATAGAGTTGAATTTAATCAATTAACTGAATATCTTTGGGTTTCTGACTGTTAACAGGACAAAATTTGATGTCCCAAGACATTGCCCTGGGGTTGTTCAAACTGTGACTGGTATTTTTTTAGTATTTTCCGACATTTATACATTAATCAACAAGTTGCAGATATTTTTTTGTTTTTCTTTATGCCAACTGGTGCTGAAATTATCAATTACATACTCATCAGGCTATAAATCGCCAAATTTGATATTGATTAAATCTTTTAAATTATCTATTGAGTCAAAATGCCAAACATTAACTGGTCCTTGCAAATAAAAAGGGAGGTTTTGCTGTGTCCTCATATCCTTCAAAATAAAATATCTTTAGGTTTTGGACTGATGGTCGGACAAAACAGTCAACTTAAGACATGTACCACGCACTATTTTCTGACTTCTACAGAGCAAACAACTTATAAATTAAATAGGAAAATGATTAATTCAGATTAAGCTGTAATGAAAAGAATCAATGGTTATCCTCAAAGCTATCTGCACCGTTTCAAACCTTAACTGTTACTTAACCACGAACACCAGCTATCACCCAGAGGGATGCAAACCAAGCCACAACATCTCCATTAGCTGCTAAAACCACACGCCTCGGGGCAGTGCCGAGGAGCCAACAGGACGCAGCTGCAACACTCAACTGACCACACGTGGCTGCACCCCATGTGAACCTCTGCCACAATGAGCCACAAATAGCTTATAATTACACCGGGAAGTTATAAATAAGAACGTATAACTTACAGGATGAGTTAAAAACTTGACTCTATAGCCTCAGCCTGAAGTTACAGTGGAATTGTGAAAAAATGTACCTTGAAAACAATTTCTGAGAAAGCTCAACATCAAACGGACTCAAAAAGGACATCAAAAATACATAGAAGACAGCTGCACAGCAATCAGAGCCTTGGTCAGAGCAATTTACTTCTGCGTCAGGCAACAGGGACCGGCCCAAGCTAGGATCCATGCCTGGCTGCAATGGTACCCAAGTGATTAACACAGACTGAGCCAGACAGTGGAGGGAATTTTACAGCACAGGAGCACAACTCTTTCCTGACAGCCAGCTCTCTCACTGGCACAGCAGATCTAGAGGGAGAGGATAAATCTTAGGAGGGGAACTCAATACACGATGGAGGCAAGAAAGGAGTCGAGGAGAAAGAGGAGGAGGAGGTGAGGTGGGCTGGGTGATAACACTATAGGTAACACATTTATCCTCACAATAAAAAAAAACAAGAAGGACAAGAGCATGAGTGGTAGTCACTCATTAATCTATGAGATGAGGGGAAAATGCAGGCCCATAAATCACTCCTGCAGGATGGTCAACAAGAAGCGCCTTCGCTCCATCTTGTTCCTTGACACAGCACAGCGCTGATTTCCAGGGCCAAAATAATGAAAATCTTTGCAGCGTCCTGCAAGGTAGAACATTTTTTGATAGTTTGTGCACACAAATTATTCATGTGTACACTTGAATTGCCAATTTGCATGAATTACTAGTCCATGCTAATCCGTGCCTTAAATGCTCTGTACAAAATCAGACGTGCAGCCTCCAAGGAAGCACATTCAGCATCTATTGAAACAAAAATAAACCTGAAATGCTAATTCAAAAGGGCAGATGAACACCATCTGCACTACCTTAGTCAGACACTGTCACTTCACTTCCACCGGCTGATAATGGATCAGCGAGCCTTGAATGATGAAAAGAGCCATTAAGCCAACATTTAGTTACACTGGGGCGATTTGCATAAATGTATCAAATAAAAGCTGCAGTCAAGCAGTTTAGAGGCGAGGAAGAGAGAGGGGCAAGATAGAGGGGTGAAGATGAAGCTGCAGGCAAATCTCTATTAGAGAAGGCGACAGTTGCATTAAGTTGTAAAGCAATCCCTGGGGTTCAGAGCGAGGTTAAGGGAACGGGACACATTGAGGACGTCTGGAAGGCAATGTAATTGAACAAGAGAACAAAGAATTGGCAGAGACAGGCTGGAGGGGAGGATAGGAAAGAAGATGGCGTCTGTCTGTGATACAGTCACACAATACCAACTCCACAGAGGACACTTGTACAGTAACAGACCCAAAGCATTGCCAGTCCATCTGGTGTATGAAGCTAAAACCCAGAGTTGACCTTGACCAATGCAAATGCTGTCCTGCCACTGTTCTGATCCACCTGGGGGTGAATTGCAGATATGCTGAAATAAGTAGACAAATTTCCTCAGGGGATTGCAGAGGGGCATTACAGGACATTAACTTTAGCACCTAAAAATGCTGGAAAGGTTAGTGGGCTCATGGGGGAATAATCGCAGCGATAAGTCTCACTGTTGAAGCCAATTTGTGGCAATTACTGCTGACTTTGGACTTCTATTATTCTTGTTAGGACTTCAACATTATACAACAAGCTAAAAATAAAAAATGAAGAAACAGCAACTCAACTCTCACTGTCATTTATACCATTTTTTCACAGGGCACCTACCTTTGAGCTGATCAGCCACCACACTCTGTCCTATTCTCTCAATGACTTGTCCGTCTTCATGCTGGTAGCGGTCATCCAGGAAGTTGGCTGTGGCCTCTGATAGGTGGACCTTGCCAGCCACCCCCAGCTGCTCCATCAGGTTGGCCAGGTTGACGTCGTTTGACCAAACATCAAACTTGAAGCGCTTCATGCCCAGGATACCACACAGTACAGTGCCAGTGTGGACACCCACCCTCATGTTGACCATCTCCCTCTTCTCCTGACAGAACTGTTCAATAGCCTGAATCATACCCAGGCCCATCTCCACGCAGCAGTAGGCATGGTCTGGTCTGGGTTCGGGACAACCAGCCACACAGTAGTAACAGTCTCCTAGAGTACTGATCTTCTCACAGCCAGTGAGTTCGCAGAGTCGATCAAAACGTCCGAATAAGTCATTTAGAAGCCCGACGAGGGCATGAGCAGATTTGTTGGCTGACATTTTTGTGAAACCCACAATGTCTGCGAAGAGGATGCTTACAGGCTCCATGCGTTTCATGTTGAAGGGTCTGAAGATAATCTGGCCTCGAGGGATGGAGGTTTTCTTGCGTTTATTGTTTTTAGGGCTGGAGATGGCAGCTGCTGCACCGCTGGTGGAGTATCGCTTAACGGAATTATCTCCTAACTCCTCGTCACCTTGCTTCATCAGTTCATCGGCCACGATTCGGGGCATGACGGAGTGGATCATTCGCTCCTTCAAGGCTTTCTCCACCTCCAGATCTTTGCCATGCATGATAGCTTGTCCCACCTTGAGGAAGGTGCTGCGTGAGCGCACCTCAGACATGATGAAGAGGTGGATGCCAATGGCGTGGGCACAGAGGTGGAGCAGAGCTTTGGCAGGGCCAAGCCAACATAATGTATCCCAGTCTGACTGAGAGGCTAAGCTCCAGTTATCCCTTGCCTGGGCCAGGTGCAGCCATCCTAAACTCTCAAAAAACACAGAGTAGAGAAACCCGAGCAGGACAGAAGCATAGAGGCGAATATGGAGAACGCTGTAAAGCAACAGAAGAACCTCGATACAGAGGGAAAAAGTGCCTACAGGAGACAGACAAGGGGACCAGGTGCTGCCTCCCACAAGCTTGTCATAGGACAGGTTGTACATTGGCCCCATGCCACTGAACTCTTCCTCATCGAGCCCAGGTGTGGGAGCCTCCGGGTCCCTGAAGCTTGATGTCTGGATCTGCGGGGCCAGGGTCAGGGTGAAGGTTACAAAGATGAGCAGCAGAGATGCTTGGTTGTAGCAGCGAGAGTAGATCTTAGTAAAAGTTAAGAGGAAGAGAAGGAGGCAGAAGAGGAGGAAGGACGCAGTGGGAAGGAGAAAGGCAGTCCTGTCACAGCGGGAAGGGTTGGCAGCAAAGTACAATCCCCACAGGAGGGCAGCGGCAACAAGGTAAAAGAGCACATAGCGGAAACGCCGCTGGGTCTGAGGGAAGCACCGCTCTCTACAGGCCTCCTCCAGGATTGAAGAGTCAAACTTTGGGTCCCAGAAATGACCGGCGGATCTCTCAAAAAGCTGAGGCATCTTCTTATGTGTGCGAAAGCTTTTGACCACCGGCCTCCTGGCTCCGGACTCTCCGGAGCTGCAGCTGGAGGAAATGCTGTACTTGCAGTGCTTGGACCCCACGATGAAGCCTCCCCCGATTGAACCCAGCGGCCCGCCTCCGTGCTTGTGTTTGACACTGCTGCCAATCCTCACTGAGACGCCTCCATCTCCACTTGAGTCACAGTTCACTTCTGTGTTGTGAGGCAGCAGTTGTTGATGTTGCGGGGATGCCATGTTGCTTTTTAATCTATCCAAAAAATCAAAACCAATGCAGAGGGGACGATTATGTCACAGACAAAGTACAGAAAGAAGTAAGGCAAAGTATTGGGCTGCAGTTTAACAGCTGGGGCAATGATTGTTTACTCTTAAACCTGAAAAAGGAGAGCACAAAAAACCATTTCAGAGAAAAATCCACTCTGAGAACAGTGTAGTGGTTGAAGAAAACACCAGCAGACCTTCCAAAGCTTTTGAATAGGTCATTATTGCACCTCTTGACGTCAGTCCCTGCATTCCTCTAAGTTCCGGACTGTTTTGACGCACTTGGGACTGCAAGGTTCACTTGCTGCTTTCTCTGTGCCTGCCCAAGTCCACTCAGCTGGCTGCACACAGTTTTACTCATTGGTGAAATGTTGGGGAAAACTCAGAGCATTACATAAGAGTGCGTGTAAAGGAAAAGTTGCAAAAGAAACACAAAAACAAGAAGAAATAGGAGTTATTGAGAAGTTGTGAGTAAGAGTGGGGTTTTTAAATCCAGTTTAAATGTGCAGTCAATATACTTTTATTACTGGTGCATGTCCACTCCGTTCCCCTGGGGATATCCAGCAGCCAAACAGGCCTATCTTCTAAACTTCACCACGTTTTGTTTACAGGTCTGAGCAAAACTTCATCCTGAACACATCCTCCGCAGTGTTTGCTCTGACTCTGCTGACTGCCGCCTTGATCGCAAAGGCCAGCTTTTGGTTTTAAGACGCAGATCAATTCCAGGTAACGGGATCGTGGGCGTAAAAACTGCCATCGGAGCTTTTATTTATCCCCACATGCTGCTTGCTGCAGGGCCTAATCGCGTCTGTTCCCGCGGACGGAGCCCCGTCCTTTCCTGACTTTCTGCTCGGGTGTCTCCGCCACCGCTGCGTCTCCAAACCCCCACAGGGACTCGTGTGCACGGAGGTCTGCAGGAGACAAATGCATGAGACGTGGCGCGCATAAAATACCCCAAAACGCTTTTATTGCAAGAGCTTAGCTGTCAGTATGTAAACACGCTCCTCCAAGGCTATGCGCCAACCAGCCGGATCAGTGCTGATCGGTATTGCTTTGGTATCCACACACTCACGCCAAATGTCGCCAGTTCATCGTCACAGTGCGCCCCGAAGAAAACTGTCCACATATTCTGATCATGCCGGTTCCTGGATGTTTATTCAGTCACCAGGGCAGCCCAGAGAAAGACAGCCTTGTGCAGACTACATGAAGTGTCGTCCAGTCTCTCCCTTTCTCTGAAGTAAACTTTGCCCACGGCAGCTCGGTGCCCCCCTCCTCTAAATGGCAGACGACGAAACCCCGGAGAGAGTGGGGCTAATTAAAAGGTCTCCACCTCAGCTCCACGCACCCCCCACACCAGGAGTCCCACAGGTCAAAGCTGAGTGCTGCACTGATCCAGCCACTTTAATTGAATTGCGGGATACACCAGAGAATATCTTCATACCTCCAAACACTTCCCCTTAAATCCAAGACAAATATAACAGGCTTAGGGCTGCTGCATCGTCCAGCCTCTCCATTCTCTGCATCGTCCACAGTGAGATGAGACTGTCTTATCTCCGGTGTGTGACTGTTCTCCGCGCGCTGCACGAGCGTCGACACCTGCATGAAATGTTGTTGTGCGGTATCCAGGCGCGGTGGGCAACGCAGTGGCCGCAGCCGCCACCATCTTCTGAGCGCTGACAGCCGTCCAGCCGCGAGTGGTGTGTGTGTGTGTGTGTGTGTGCGTGTGTATACTGTGAGTGTGTGAAGCAAGCTAAAAATAAAATAGAGGCAATTTCCGCCTACGTCTTTCAAAATAAAACCCCATGTGCATTTCATGGCTAATAAAAACCATTTGCCTGCACTTCTAAACTTAAAGTTCTCATACAGCCTATTACTTGTTTTCGACATTAAATTTCAGGCTACATTGCCAAACTAAGAAAAACTACACCCCCTAACCAACAAATAATGTAAACCGTCTTAAAAGATAAAGAAAAAAACTGCTTTTCCTTTAATATTTCGGAGGCGACAGCCAGTTAAACTGACCCAGGTAGCCAAAATGACCTGGCCCAGAATCAGCCCAAACTTGGCATGCCGGATGAAATTAGCCAGCCACATCCGGTCACTTGACTCGGCTGAGATTCGGTATGTGTGACGCCCCAAAATTGGGCAAAATCAACTGGCATGATTCCTTGGCATGTCGGATGAAATTAGCCGGAAGCAGAGACTCGGTATGAATGACGCCCCAGAATCTGTTGAATCAGCCTGCCCGGTTCTGGCTGCCAACACTGCCACCACTGGACCCTTACCAGAAATGACCTGGCCCAGCATCGGCCCAAAGTCGGCATGCCGGATGAAATTAGCCATCCGCATCCAGTTGCCCCACTCGGCTGAGACTCTGCATGAATGATGCCCCAGAATCGGACCAAATCAGCTGGCCTGATACCGGCTGCTGACACTGCCATCACTGGGGACAGTTATGGTGCTCCACCTGTACCAGACTTACTTTACTTTCCTACTTATGTGGCACAAATGTGAATATAAGCCTCGACCAAAAAAAAAAAAAAATAGATTTTCGATGTAATTTATTTTGAAAAACATTTCTATACTTCCGTTTTGGTGGCTCCCGCTGACTTCACACCTCTGTCTGTATTTGGACGAAGGGCTGACGATTGATGGGAGGGGAGGGGTACAGTCGAGGTGCGTGCACGCGCTTGTTAGAAAGAAAAAGACTGAAAGGTAACGAGCACGTATTTTAGAGAAGGGTGGGGACGTCTGTGTTTTTTGTGCACCGCAATGAGCGCACCCCTCCACCTTCAGTTCAACGATGAAGCCCCTCCACCTTATTGTCTATCCCACCACTGTGCACTCTACATTTAGAATTAACTCAGATTTTGGGAGGACAGCAGAGGACACAATTAAGAGGCATATAATGAAATTTAATTGAAGCCAAAGGAGACAAAGTAGCCTAAAATACACGGTCACTAATCTGCTCTAGACGCTGTTGGATTATATTAATGTTATTATGAAGGATGAAAATATTCAATTAATAAAATCAGCACATGAAGGCTAAACTCAGTTCTGCACACTGTAATATTTCTGCACCCTCAAGATTATTAAAAAGAAAAAACAGTGACTTTCAGGGATGACACAATATAATCCTCCAGTATATGTGCAGCAGTCTAATAGAACCCAATTAAACCTTTAAAGGGACAGTTCACCCCAAAATCAAAACTATACATTTTTCCTCTTGCCAGTAGTGCTTTTTACCAGTCTAGATTGTTTTGGCGTGAGTTGCAGATTATTGGAGATATCCACTGTAGAGATGTCTGTCTTCTCTCTAATATAATGGAACTAGATGGCTCTGAGCTTGTGGTGCTCAAAACGCTGAAAAAATACATTTGAAAAACTCAACAGCAATGTCTATTTACAGAAATCATGACCTGCTTACTCAAGATAATTCACATATCTTGCTGTGAGCAGTTTCATGTAGGAACTATTGTCTTTCTACTGAACTACATCTGACATCTGTATAGCCACCCAGCCAACCTGGTCTCACTCGGGAGTCATCGAAATCCGGCACTTGGGCAGTGACTTGCGGCGTCAGACAGCAACAAGGAAAGCAATCGTTTAACGTCAGCACGATAAATGGCCGGTCTCCTTTATACTTTAACAGTGCTCGGCAGCCTCAGGGGGGAAAATAGCGGGACAAGAATATGAGTTAAGGCGGCAAAAGTCCTTGTAGGGCGAGTGAGGAGAGTGATAGATGGGTTTAACAAACACCAATTTTCACCTGGGAGAGTGGTGTTAGTGTGCTGTAAGATTGTAAGCCAAACCCTGTTTTTCTTCCCTTTGCACAACCACATGCGTTAGTTGCTGGAAGAAAAAAAACATAAATTTGTATTGTTGTACCGACATAGTGCGTTCATTTTGAAAGAGACTGTATGTAAATAGTAAATTAGTATAATAAGAAGACAATGCATGTAACAGGCAGAACTTGACACGGTGTCCCAGAATGTCAAGAACCAACACACCCAGGGTACATTTCACGTCGTATGTGGACGTGGAAAGTCCATGACCACGCCTCTTTCTGCACGGTGATACGGTTGGCGGGTGTAGTTCAGAAGACAAAAAAATAGTTCCAACATGAAACTGCTCACAACAAGATCTGTGGATTATATTGAGTAAATGGGTCATGATTTCTGGAAAGAGACATTGCTGTTGAATTTTGGGTTTTTTTGCAGCTTTGAGCACCACAAGTTGAGTGCCATCTAGTACCATTATATCAGACCACACCAAAAACAATCCAGATTGATAATTAGCACTACAGGTAAGAGGAAAAATAGGCATTTTTGATTTTAAAGTGAACTGTCCCTTTAATGCTTCTGTCTCTATTCAGTAGCCTGAGGGAAATATTAAACAGCAGCCCTCTATAGTCAGCACTGTGGCTTCACAGTTGAACAGTAAATTGAGAGGATCCCCAGGAGGGACTGTGGATGCTTCCTCGCAACCCACCACCTGCATATAGGGGAACAAAAAGCACGGCCGTTATGAAAAGGAATGAAAAGATTTCCTTCGAATTTAGATCAGAGTGTCATTTACAAAGCTGAGTCTGGGGGTCAGTAAGCATTGTAATAAAATGTGTTTGCATAGAATCAGCACGTTTCAAAGCACATCATTTACTCTGCAGATACAAAAGTCTGAAGAGGAGTTTAAAAAGGGAGATGATTTACACCCAAGACACAAAACATTATTCAATGTGTGCATGTGCCTGTGTGTATTTGGTTGTGCGCCATACACGTGCACACCATATATTTATTTTATATATGTATATTTGTGGATGCATATCTGTTTTGTGTGTGTCTACAAACTTTTTTAGTGCAGATCAAATTTTTTTTTTTTTTACACAAACAAGTTTTGATTTATGCATGAAGACTGTTTTAGTGTTTTCAGAACTTATGAAATGTAGTTTCCATTTGCAGTCTCGTCAAAATCTACTCAAATTAACGCTTAAGGAGGAGTGGAAATACTCTCACAGAGAAACACATGCAGGTTTAAGTCAGTGTTTAAAGGGAAGTCTTGGTGCACAACTATCAAAAGTCACACCCAATATACTCCATCCACCACCACACACCCCTCCCCACTTCCAGTCACGACAAACTGTTGGTGCATTGCAGCTACAGGATAAACCCCCAAAAAATCCTTTCAAATCCAAAAGTGAGAAGTTGAACCTTCAGAAAAAGGAAACGAGGACATGAACGTGGGCAGAGTTGTGATACAGAGCTGTAAGGGAGAGTGAGAGAGACGGAGAACAAGAAAATCATCTTCGTGCAAGTTTTGATCTCTTTGTTTTCTTATTCGAGTCTCCCTGATTAAGGATGGATCGTCTAATCAGAATAACCACAAAGTTTCACTCCCTAGTCAGTCAGAAATCTTTATTCTTAATGTTCAAGCTTCCAAAATTGTGCCAAGATTAATTTATATTTTATACCAAAACAAAAAAAAAGTTAATCAACAACTATTTTACTGGGACACACATCCATTCCAGATCTAATTCACAGGTAAATTAAATTAAGATAACTGATGCTGAAATATACCAAAAACACAACCACACAAAGTCATAAGCCCGAGCGATCACCCTGTCACTATAAACTGTTGCCATGATGAGTGTTAGTTAGTGGTCTGTATAACTTTTTACACTTTTACACAGCACTCTCTAGTGGGCATCTTCTGGATCTGCAGTGTAAACATATTGAACACATCCAGTGGAGCACTCGCACTCAAATACACAGAGAAAATTAAGCAGATGTTAGTTTACTTTCCTTTTTCATTACACTTCAGATTTTAGTTGGGGAAACACTCCTCTCTGTGGGGTTAAGTAAGTTAGGGAGGACACAGGCGTACATTTGCCCATTAGTCGAGGTACTAATTGGAATTAGGGGTTATACCAGTATATTTTAAAATTGAAATATTGATACCATGTTATGATACACAGACTCACCCTCCACCTCCCTACATTCATATTTTGGGAACTGCCCATTGGTCCGACAGCCCATTGAGTGTAAATCATTTGCCAAAAAAGGGACAAAATGCGCACTAAACAAAATTAAAGATGACTTTGACTGATATCATTGTTAATATTATTATCATTATTTTATTTTTGATATATTTTTGTATTTTATTTAGTTTTCTAATTTTCCATAGATACTGTGATAATATCATTATCATGAACTCTTTGGGCCACATCTTTTGTGAAAATCTAATATCGTGCTAGCCCAAAATTGGAAGTCTACTTACCTGTCCTTTGGGGATTTAGACCTCTGTATTTAAAGTAATAGTTGGCCATTTTGATTTAGATTGATAGCCCTGTCATGTCTGTATGGCATTATGTCACGTTAGCTAAATGGAGCTAGCAGCCTGTTAGCTTAGCTTAGCTCCAACCGAAAACTGGAGGGAAGAGTCTGCCCAAAGGTAATTAAGTCTGCCTGCCTGCACCTCCATATCGCCATAATTAACACACAATATGTCCATTGTTATTTGGTACAAAAACCGCAGTGTAAAAGTGCCATGTTGTGGTTTCATTTTGGGGCAGACTATTTCTTGGCTCTGCATTTCCTTGAGTGCTGGTTGCCTGGCAACCCATGCTAACAGCTAGCCTCCAAGGAAGTTAGCTAAGAAATAGCCCTTCTGTCAAAAAACTATGTCCCAAAATGCCAACCTATTTGAAAGGTTTAGTGTGTAGGATTTAGGGGGAAATGTCAGTAGAGATGGAATATAATATAAATAGTATGCTTTCTTTAGAGTATAATTGCCTGAAAATAAAAATTGTTTGTTTTCGTAACCATAGAACAAGCCATTAAATATCTATAGAGGGAGTGGGACCTCATCCATGGAGTCCGCCATGTTTCTGTAGTAGCCCAGAAAAGATAAACCAAACACTGGCTCTAGACAGGGCCATTCATTTTACACGTTTACGCCTCAGAAACCATAGTTAGCCCCTCCATGATGAGTTAAGTTGGAAAAACAAGTTTCTGGACATGAAACTGCTTAATTCAAGCAGTAGATTTGTTTGTTTTCGAGAGGAAGAGGCCTTTACGGATAATTCAGGTCCCGGTAAAAACCTCCTGAACAACTGGATCAGAAATAAGGTGAGCACACATTAGCAGGTACTGGGCTTGTGGCCCTTCTGTGACAAGCCAAACAGCGTTGGATAAAGTCATTTGTAACGCAATCTGGAAATCCATCGGTAAAAAAAAAAAAAAAAAATCTTCCTCTACAATGTAAATTGCAGAATCTGTCTTGAGAGATTATTTTTAACGTAACACTGCTTTATTCAGTGTTTTTACCTGTTTAAATCACTGGGTCCATTTGTTTTGGAGAGAAAGAGACCTCCGTTGATAATTCGGCTTCCAGTAAAAACCTCCTCAACAATGAACACTGAAGGAATTCTAACTGGGAGACGTTTCAGCTGGTTGCATTCTGCAATCCTCACAGCTGGATGCCAAAAAATCCCCCTAAATCTTACACAGTGCTATTCTAAGCAATTTGACAATGCCATAGTCCTAGGAAGTTTATTGAGGTAGGCGCACACGAGAGCGTGCAGATATGACATGTATCACGGCAAAATTGTTGTTATTTGGGGCTTCCTTCTTTCCACAGAGGTCAGGGGTCAACTCATGAGTCCTCCACTTCACCTTTACCTCCATTCCACTTTTCTCAAGGGAGGAAATCCACCATCACTGAGCTCCACTATCACAATCTTGCAGTGGTGGTTTGTAAAATTGTATAGTAAGGGGTATTCAGTACACATACACAGCCTACTTCAATGCCCATTTGGAAAGTTTACACAGAAAAATCAATAAATAGCTTTCTATCCCACAGAAGAAATGGCTATAGGCAGCTATAATCCAAACACATCCCTCATGTGTTTTTTTTATTATGGTCATTCAGCTAAAAAAAAAAGCTGGGAAGCTTATCGATCAAGGAAAAAAATCATAACACAGTATTGAATTTCTGCCAAAGACTGGCAAATTTATAGACGCAAACAGAAACAGTAAGAACAGTTAAGAAGTGAAGCAGAATGAACACACCCACCCCGCTCTGAAGACTCTGACCCTTGAACCCTGACCTCTGCTTCCATCACAGTGCTCATTTCACAAGTTGTCAACAACCAGGACTGATGAGCGTATAAAACTAAGAAAAAAAAGGCCTTGTTTGTTGCATGGCAGGGTCTGTTCAGGTTTCAGTTACATAAGGAAATATTACTTCAACTTTATATTAGCAGGAAATGCATGCATCTGTTAAATAAGATCTAACATGCAATGTAAATGTTAATCTATGTCAAAAGCAAAGGCTTGGATGACAAACACAAAGGCTTTGAATAGCACCCACAAAAAAAGGCTACTTCAAAATCAGCTTCTGAAGCTTATGGAATTGAATATCTGCAATGCAAGATTTTACAACACAAATTTGCAACTCCTGTTTCCACTTTTTCCTGTTTTATTCACATACAAGGGAGCTGGTATTTGACTGTTTTCAGTCTCAGGATTTTCAATTTTTATTCGATCTTACTTTTGTTTTTCATTTCTGTATTTCTTCACATCAACCCCAGAATCCCAGACAGTCCACTGTGATTGTGCAAGGGAGAGAGGAGGGCGTGTATTTTAACCAAACTCAGTGATCAGCGGCGTGTTCTCATTTCTTCAGCACTTGTGTCCTTAAGCTGCCGTAACAAAACAATGACCCTTCCCTCCCTTTATCTGCCTCATTCCCACAGTCCCTAAATGCACCTCCCCATATTCTCCTGAGAAAAAAAACAAACACTAATCTCCTCTCCTCTGTCTCCTCAACAATACAGGCGTTCTGACAAAAGCAGGGTTGGCTTCCACCAGACCCCTTCTCTTCTTACTTCCCCCACTCAAGTTATTTTGTTTTCCTCAGTTCTTCCGGTAGCGATTCTTTGGCTTCTCCCCACAGCCGGTAGCCTCGCAGGAGGACAGGCCGGGCTGCTTGCCAGAGTTAATGCTGCTCAGAAGGGCGGGCAGCTCATTGGTGATCGCCTTCTCGATCTTGTCCAGCAGACAGCCTCCTATGTAGGAGCACTGAGCCGTCAGGGGCTTGAAGTTGGTGACAGGGTTGATGCCAAAGAAGTCACGGTAAGCATCGCGGTTGGGCAGGTCAAACTTGCTGACGTTGGTCTTGGCTAGGATGGATTTGAAAATGTAGAACTTGTCTGGGTCGTCCACAATCTCCTGGAAGACTAGTTCAGGGTCACTGAAGAAGCTCATCTTCTCTTTAAAGGTCTGGACGTAGCGGTCTACAAGCAGGCCGTGGATGCGCACGCGGATGCCATGCTGGCGGATGAAGGCGATTTTGTTCTCCATGCGGTTTTCAATCACCTGGTTCAGATCTTCCAGGAGAGAGATCTCCTCTCGCTTGAAGAGGTCACGGCTAGTGTCAGCTGCATATTCATATGGCCAGAAGGAGCTGACATAGACGCGGGGGGGTTCAGTCACGTTGATGAGAGGAGCTAAACTCCAAAAGAGCGCTCCGTAGACTCTCATTAAGTCCTGGGTGGCCAGGCTGTCAGCCTTGTTCAGGATGATGCGGATCTGGGATTCACGACCCTTCAACTGCCGGAAGAGCATCTCCAGCTCCAGGCCAACGTCCAGCTTGGTGGGGTCGAACACCACGAAGATCAGGTCAGCGCGGTCAATGAACCACTGGCAAACATCATTGAAGGGATAGCCTGGACGGAAGAAGAGAATACGTAAACCACTAGATACTGAGTTGCAGTCAGTTACTTTGTATATGTAGTATGTGACAACTGTGTTTTACCTCTCTCCTGCTGCTTCCGGTTCTCAATGATTCCTGGCGTGTCCACAAAAGTCACACGCTCCAGCATCTTGTGGGGCATCTCAATACCAATCAGTTTTTCCAGGAAGTTTTGGCCAAACTTCTCCAACGGAGAGAAGGACCGAGAGCTATCAGCAGCCATAACAATACCCTCAACAGAGCGGATCTTCTCCCCGTGCATAATTACAGTGAACTCAGAGGTAGTAGGCTCAGCTCCTGGAGACAAATTCATGGAAAACAAGAGGATTAGCAAGAATAGTATCAAGATGAAGAGCATGTTAAAAAAGAAAATCCGCCAGTAGATCTAGGCAGAGATGAGAGGGATGTGAATACACTGGGGGATTATCTGCTCTTTAACAGCTCAGCAATGAACAGAACCTCTCTGTAAAGCAACATGAAGCTGAGGGGAGCTGCAGATTTAGGCTCTAAATCTCAGATGCTTATGAGCAACCCCTTTCACATCAGGTGTTTTCGACTTTTTCCACTTCTAAAAACCCCTCTTTTTATTAGGTGTTTCGGAGCAAACACTTCCAGCGACCCCCTGAGAGGAACTTTGATCGGGTGAGCTCTCCTGAGAACTACATACCCACAAGGACTTTTTTTGTGTTTGTATTTACACCGCTAATAGGAACACTGAAGTGACTTACTGTAAGACAGCCGTCGTTTGGCGAGTTAAAATTGCATTGTATTTCCACTGTCACATATATGACCCATAAAGCCTTGACTTCATTGTCAACCCATTTGTTCATGTTTTCTTCAGTTTTGTTTTCGTTACAAGCTGCTTGAGTTTTGTTTTGTCTGTTGTTTACACAGCTCATGGGTTTTTAAAAATGGAGGTTGCATTAGCTGTGTTCGACAAATCAACATACACTTACAATACTCATGGTTCCTCTTGTGCTGAGAGAGTACCTGCTCTGAGAAAAGAACTAAAAAACTCCCTCAAAACATTGTTCAAAGAAATATGGCATAGTGTTAGTTCAGGCAGGACACAATGTCAAGCTCAGCTCACATTCCAGCCAATCAACTGATGGAGCAGCTGATTGATGAAAGGGAGTCAGCTGACAGATCACATGATTCCTTTCTATGCAACCGATTGGCAAATCTCATTCAGGGCGCCCTATTTAAGCTGCTCTGGCCTGCCTACTGTTGCTGCTTCCACTGCATGCCGTTTTGCAACCTGCCTCCACCCCAGCTCCTATGTTCTGTTCCCAGGGGGGGTCTTTGCTGCTGCTCTCCCTGCCTTAGGCTTTCCCTGTAGGCGCATGGAAGGGCAGGGAGGTTTGCTCTCTCTGCCTCAGGCTCTCCTCATTTGCACATGGAAGGGCAGACAGGTGTGCTCTCTCCGCCTTATGCTTTCCACGTAAGCGCATGGAAGAGGCTTTCTGTAGAGGCTCGAGGAAAGGCAGAGAGAGCTATACCGCCAAATATAATACTCCAAATGGCAATAAAGTTTTCTTTGACTAAAGTGCTCCTGACTGTACTATGATTGTTCCTAGTTCTTATGGTGCACAACAAAAGGGGGGTTCTTAGAATTATTAAAACGTTCCTCCCATACAAAAATGCCTATTGCAAAAGTAAGGTCCTATACCAACCGTCAGCCAGCTTGCAGTACGTCACTTTAGCGTTCTTATTACCAGTGCAAATGCAAAAAAAGCCCTTGAAGGTGTGTAGTTCTTGGGGCAGCTCCCCAGTGGGCAGTTTCTCTCAGAGATTACAGAAAATACAGATTATAGCTGCTTTACATAAATTTAGCCGTGGCACTAAATTGCCAGAGATCACTGTTGAGCCTTCTTAAGATGTCATGATCTAATTCAACAAAACTTTAGATCAGGCAGCTGCCTCTCTGATGGTCCTGCAGATTTATGATGGCTTTTTCAGGTTACTTCATTTAACATTGGCTTATAGTACATTTAAACGTTACAGCATTAAACATTATTTTTTAGCCAATTTAAAAAGACAATCTGTGCAACATACCTGTGTAGAGCTGATAGGGGCTGTCGTGCATGCCCAGGAGGTAATTGATCATGGAGGACTTTCCTACGCTCCAGGGTCCCAGGAACAGCACCATGGGCTTGGAGGTGATCTCTCCATCTGTTGGGCAAGGAGAGACAACAGTGGTTAAACTCTCAGCAGGATGGCTAAATGATGACAAAGAACCTCTAAAGCTCATCCCAAATTTTATAAGAACAATTATGAGGTAGCCAGTTTTTATTTGTGGCTGATAATAACAGGTACGAGGACCTGAGCTGTTCAGTGTTGCCAGAATCCAGTGTTTGATTTTGTGCCTCATAAAAGGATTGTTTAACCAAAACAACAATCTGTCCAAACTGTATCCTTGGTTTTTGGGATGAACTCTACTTCATGTCTGAGAGACACCAAGAAGCAGGTCGCGATAGCGCTGCCACTCTGAAGAGCACAGAGAAATATTTTGTAAGACTGAGAAAGGAAATAAGAAAGAAAGGTAGGTAAAGAAAGATGTGTCAAAGCTGTAATGCTTGTTTAATAGCATAAAAACATCAAGAAAATGCTGCAGCCATATCTCAGTGACACACGTCAAAGCAGCGCCATCACTCTGACTTAAGACTCAACAGGGTAAGGCTTTCAGAGCAAGCTATGTGTCTCATAACAGTCTGCCATGTGTGCTATGAGTGGCCATGGTGTCGGGGTGGGTGGGTGCAGGACGGTTCTGGTTCAAAGCCGAATTAATTCAAAAGAAGATAAGAGTGAAACATACCAAAAAAGAAAAGGAAAAAGCAGAATTTTTTTTCAAAAGATTTCAAAGAAAGAAAAAGGTAACTAAATAACCACCCCTGACGCCATACTCATTTTTTAAAATGTAAAAAAAAAAAAAATGTAATTAAAGGTCAGTCATTTCGCTCCTAGCCGAACACTGGCCACCCTCTCCCACAAGTGTCCCCTCTTAAAACCTGTGTGTCCTTTGCTAAAGCCAGAACTGCACATGCAACCCCCTCCATATTTTACATTTTATACCATAACTACACAACTAAATATGTGGTCTCTACTAAATACTGCAGGTAATATGCTGCCTAAACAATAACAGTCTTTTTAACAATCTTTTTAAAGTAATACTTCATCCTCCAATTGACCATTTGTATATCAATTACTCATTCCATGTAATGTTGAATTTCTGAAGAAGACTGTTTTTTTCGCATGTGAACGAAGAATCCAAAAACTGAGAAAATTTTTTGATTAGGGCTGTAAAATGTGTATTTGCCCAAGCAGTTTTTGTTTCATTTGCTCTTATTGCTTTTCAATCATTTTATTATTTTGCTATGCTGTTGTAACTGACATGTTAATGTCTCAAAAGTTGTTTAAATAAAGATTTAAATGGGAAAAAAAAGTCACACAATAACACAAACTAACTAACAAGGCAGCGGTAGACCAGCAGCTCCTGTGTTAAGCAAGGTAAAATTACTGTTGTCAATAGAGTCTGGCTTTGAAGATAGCAGCGATAAATTTGGCTTTTAGTTCAGTTCCCTGTTAAAAGGGCTCATCATATGACTGGATAAATGAGAGTTGGACTATACTGCACAAGCTTTGTATAAGTTTGTAAATGGATGCTTTCCTGTTGTTAAACGTGGACCCCTATGACTTCAATTCATAAAGACTTTTCTCCGCTTTTGGATTCTGCATTCACCATGGAGGCATGCGAGAAAAACAGAGTGTTTTTCACCAATTCAGCATAACACAGGGTGAGTAACTGATTTACAAATGGTTATTTGGGCACTGAAGTATTCCTTTAAGATAATGTTTTTATTTACATTTCTTCCCGTTTAATTCTTTAATATGGTATTTTGGTTGAAATTTTGTATGAGTAAATCCACTTTGATTTACATTGTGTACAAAACTGCTCTGTATGGGTTGAACCTTTCGCCTATGGGCCAATTTGACCCCACTCCAATCTGTAACATTACATCAGGTGTTGCCCAAAGTGAAACATGCTTGAAACTTTTGACCCACAGAGAGCAGTGCAGCAGTTATATTAGTCTAAGTGACTCACAAATGTATGAGGACAAATGGAGAGGGGGAAAAGGAAGGGGCTGAGCACTTCAGGCGGTGCCATGCACAGGTAAGCCCCGCCCACACCCACCTGTGGCTGAGTCCCCCAGGGTTCGTCCGGGGTAGGCTGTTAGGTGAAGGGATGGGGAGAAGGGACAGGAGAGGGTGGAGTACAGAGAAGTGTGGGGAACAGGAGGTGGAGGAGAGTGAGGAGTGAGGGTGTGAGGTCTCTAGAAGCAACAGGGAGGGGCAGAGTAACTGTGCATGAATGGGTGGGAATCTAGTCCCATGTTTGACCTCAGGTGTCAAAGATGTTCTTCTACAAGTGGTGTGCCTTGGTGAATCTTTTTGCCTGTATATTTTCTCCTCCCCTCTACAAAAATACACGTTCAAGTGGAGGCATAATACAGGTGGTATTTCACAAGTTTGCATGCATGCCTAGCCTAAAAGGCCACAAGAGGGCGGGCTTTATTTCACTGTGGGACAGTAGAGCGTGTTCTTGGCAGTTCAGTATGCAGCTTTGAGTGTTGAGCTAACTGTGAAGAAACACTGCAAAGTCATTTTAAAGTCAAACAAGGACATTACAACAAAGTATTGGGGGGGAATAAATAGAAGAAAAGGGGAAGAAATATACTATAAATGGAGAGATTTAGACCAAATATTGCTACATCTTTTTTCTGGACCAATATTGTTGGACTTAAAACTATAATATGAATACATATATCACTACTATTCATGTGCCTTAAAGCCTACAAATGACCTTTAAAAGGTATTTATATAACTCTTAACAGTACACAGTTCATGCCCTCATAAAACAGTGGGTCTGAAAGTCCAAAGAAAGATAATAACATATGATAAAATACTCAAGAATTTGGAAAAAAAGATCTCTCTGTATGTGTTGGTTGACGGTGTGAGGATGATGTGTGTATATGAACAAGTCAACGAATCAGTCACCAAGCAACCCAGACAGAAAAACCCACACATCAGAACAAAGTGCAGACGTAGGCGAAGCGTCGGTGATTGATACCTGAGATCTCATGCTGCCTCAGCTCGTTATATTTGTAGGCCTGCTCCATCGGCTTGATGGATGTGTGGTAGATCTTCCGTAACTTCTGTAGAGCAGCTGGAGGACAAGGAGCGAGAGAGGAAATGGTGATAAAGGTGAGGCCGGGAAAGGTAGAACCATCCAGGTCTTTACAGCGAAAGTAGCACTTTAAGATGAGTCAGAAAAATATTTTTGTTATTGTTCCTTGAGTATTTTGTCAAGCATCTAATGACCCCTTACATTTATTTTGCTTCAGAACCACTAGTACAGTACTTTCTGTTTGGTACACACTCTAACAACCAACCACCATCCTTCATGTGTTGCATAAATAATCAAAGATTAGAAAGACATTAGTGAGTTAAAAGGAAATCTGGAAAAGGGATTCAGAGGATATTACAGTGTTTAACTGCTTGACATGCTTCATTGAGCTAACTTCAATTTGTCAGATAAAGTACAAGCACGCACAAAGCTTTACAAAACACACATCTACTGAATCATCTTTAATCCTCACCTGCATAGTCTCCTGCTTTTTCTTCAGTTGCAAGCCGCAGCGTCTCGTCGATGTGAGATCTGTCCCTGAGGACAGAGATGAAATCTTCTCCTTCTTCTTCTGTAAAAGCAACATTAACAAAATTCAGCTTGATTCAAGTCCTCATGTCTTTAATGACGTAGTAACATGAATAACGGACCCAGGTGGCCAGGTGAGAGTTTCATTATGAGGCTCACACTTGGGCTGCTGACAGCCAGTCATATATGTTCGATAAAGCTATGCTACAGAGGCCAACGGTGCTGCTATTTGTGGATGCACGTCAATAAATACATCCTGCATCTCTCAATATCTCTCACCACTGCTGGGAGTTTAAAAGTGACACACAGATAATTGATAATAAGCACTGGGTGACAGTTTTGCATCGGATGCCAATGGCAACTTCAGACATTGCAGATATTTGAGCCATCTCATTATCAAATGTTTCCAGCCCGAGCCTTGATTTAATCTGCAGCCACATGCACACCAAATGCCTCTTCTTCAACGTCTTCACCTCCATCTACCTCTCTGTCTAACCATCTCACCGGGGGCAAATGCACATGTTGTTAATATTGAAGGGAGCATGTCCCCTGTTTGGTTTTGTTTGTAGTTTTTTTATTGGGAAGAGCGTATGGAAGAGTCCAACGAGAGGATGCGCACCAAGTACCAGGAGCTTGTTGAATAGTGCAGGGGGCAAGGCTGGCAAACTAGCTGTGAGCCTCTGGAGGTGGGCTACAGTAGATTTGTGGGGCGATCACTCTGCAAGGCATTCATGCTGCTGGGTATTACTGGGGAGACAAAGAGGAAGGCTATCAAAGCTGAAACTGAAGCTGCAGAAAAAGCCACAAGATGGCTTTGGATTAAGAGGGCAGATCTGTGGCCAAATGCTGCTGGGACACAGGCTGGAGTCTGATCAACTCCGGTCGGGTTGCCTGGGCAAGGGTGTCTGATTTGTTGAAAGACCCGAAACACCCAATGACCCCAGGTCAAATCACTGATGATGTGTCCCAGCGCATCCATAGTATCTTTCATCATCAAAGTCATTGGTGCCATAACTAAATTAAAACTGGCTGAATAAATCAGTTGAAAGACTGAACTTTGTACTAAAAAAAGAAACATTGGAGGCTCTCTGAGACCCCTTTCACCCCTTAGGAGGTACAAAATGGTTTAGTCCACTCTAGCTCTTGGGTTGGTCTCTAAACCATGCCCACAAGAGAGGCGCTCAGTCTTGCAGCAAAGTTTTCCAAGTGGCCATTCACGGTATTGCAGCAAAAAAAATCCTCAATTGCTAGAAAAGATGCACCTGTAAAACAGTTGACAGGACACATGGAATTGCAAACAAGGTAAAAGTTTCTATTCTTAATTTTTGAGCCATGGTGGATTTATATCTGTAAAACTTTCCTCAAGTGATTTACAAATCCATGACGTCATCACAATGTTAAGTCTATGAGCAAGCGGGAACTCATGGATGGGCCCAGTTGGAGAAACACCACTGCACGTATTAAGTAGGCTGCATATTGCATAAGTAAACCCAGAAGCTAGAAAACTTTTTTGCTGAATGCGCCATAAGAGCAACTCCACTGGAATAAATAGGTGCCATCTTGGCATCCAGTATCTGGTTATTATATTATGTGCTCTAAATGCAGCTAGGGTCAAGTAAGTGACACTGTTATGTCATTTCAAAGACAAGAACATGAAATGAAAAATCAGGGTACAAAAAAAAGAGCGAGGAAAGGGAAAGACAGCAAACTGACTCTGTAAAAAAAAATAAAAATCAAAAGCTTCCTGAGAGAGACATGGATCAAGAGAGGAAGGGCCCCTGTGCTTATACATAAACAGGGAACTGAATCATCCACTGGGAACAACAAGATCTAACTTCACTGTGTGTGTGCGCACTTCAAATCCATCAGTTTTAATGTTACATTGTGCAGAAAAAAAGTTTGAGATAATCTCATAGAGTTCACCAACAAGTACTTTCATGACTATTTGGAGCGTCAGAGAGGAGTATTGTCCTTCATCGTTATAATTTGTGTTGGGCTGCCTGTGCACCAAAAAATGGGTGACTTTCCTTTAATGTGTATACAATAGTGCTTTTCTCCAAAGTGGCTTACATTTTTGCACCAACAACTTACATGTGTGTGGTATTTTAATGACTCCCCCCTCCCCGTAGTGTGCGTGTGTGTGTGTGTGTATGTGTGAGAGAGTGAATCCGAGAGAACATGTCCGCTCACCAGTGTGTCATGTCCACTTTTGAACATATCGCATCGCTCAGATCTCTGCTGTTAGTACAATCATCTCTTAATTTAGAAAGCAAACGCTGGAAATAAACAAAGACCTTTGTTTGGCATCACCACAGGCTTTATAGCAACAGCAAAGATACGAGAGACAGAGAGAGAGAGAGAGAGAGAGAGAGAGATAGAGAGAGAGAGAGAGGGACTTCCCCAATTTCATTACGCACTGGGAGGAGGACTCAGAGCTGGACTGAGTGTTCCCATCGGTAATATACATGATGAGACAATGATGTGCAATCCTGTGTCTTTTCTCTTCTATATTTAACCACCTATCACAGACTTATCGCACTGTGAGGCCTGTCCTTGTGTGTCCAGGCCTCACAGCGAGCCACCCAGTAACGCCACACAGTCCTGCTTCGGACAAACCTGCTACGGCTATGAGCTATAAATAGGAGGAGCGGGGAAGTTTTCTGGTTCACACCTTCATGCCCCTGGTGAGTTATGTTTTTTTTTATCCAAGCTACCAGACACTCCCTTAATAGAGTTGTTATGGGATTTTAAAGGTATTTACAGCATGTTATTAGAATATTAAAGGTCTCTTGTATGGGATTTAGTGACATCTAGTGGTGAGGTTGCAGATAGCAACCAACTGAAATATGTGCCAAGTGTGTAGGAGAACTACGGTGGCCGACGGAAAAACGAGAAAACGTAAATGGCCCGATTTAGAGCCAGTGTTTCATTTGTCCGTTCTGGGCTACTGTAGAGGCAACATGAGGAAATCAATAGAAGAGGAGTCATGTATATATTAACAGCTCATTCGAAGGTCATGAAAAAGCAACAATCCTTAGTTTCAGGTGATTATACACTGATGAAAACACAGTTATGAGTATTATATTCCATTTCTGCCAATGGCCCCTTAAACCCTTCACACTGAACCTTTGAAGCTGATAGTATGATGAGTCATTCAACTGTAAATCAGGCTGTGCAAAACACATAGTATGATCTGAATATTGATGTTGTTACATAAGCATGTCGTCTGCATACTTCCTGTCAGCACAGCCCAGTTAAATTCAGTTTACTGGCACAGGAAACACATTAACACGTATAACATCCATCCTATACTTGATCTCAAAACAGGATAAAAGTTTGATATAACCTCCTCAGCTGTGTGTCTCTTGACCTTTCTAACAAAAAACTCTTATAAAAACTAATAATACAGCATGTTCAGATTAAGTGTCCTGCATGGAGGATCAGGAAGCATGAAAAGTTGGCGCTGTGGCCCAGGGCGCGACCCTCTGATCTCAGCTGGTGACTGCAAATGCCCATCATGCCTGCAATATTCATCACCAGTCAAAAACCGACTGGTGTGAAGTAGAAGCACTTGGTGGGGGCAGGTAATATTTTTTTTGCAGAGCTCTTAGACCAGAGGGACAAAACTTTGAACATCTTATGTGCACTGCTGGGAGATACAGTCTTCCTTCATTGACGTTTTGAATCAGCATATGGATCAGGAACTTGACCAATAGATGTGACAGTCTAAAGTCAAATAAACACTCAGCTATACTCTCAATTACCGCACTCTCAGCAAGTTAATCAAGGGTGCGTTCATAAATCCAGTCTGACACTCTACACTCTACAGAGCACTGTTGTTCGAAGACACAGGGCATTTTATTTCTACATGAATTAATGAACAGTTTAGTTAATCACACAGTCACTCTGCTCAGCGCTCTGCTACTCCAGCTATTAATGTCTGTGTGTATGTATCTTCATTTTGAAAGGGCTATACAATACAATAGGATAACCTCATGGCAGACATTTAGCAAATTTCCCTGTCTTCAGCCATTGTGCATAATTGCTCCTTAGTCTAGTTTTATGGGGGGGGGGGTTGCTGTAACGGAAACACGTGAGCCCCCCACCCCGCAGCTAAAAGTCTGGAATCATTCCACTATAGGGGAAATAAACGTTCTGGCTTGTTTGTGTTTCTCTAAACCAATCACAATTTTCCCATACAGCCATAAGCCCACGATGCAGCAATGCTTGGGATAGTGTTGGGAGGAACACACACAGTAACAGGGCCAACCGTTAGCATCACACGGCTAATGTAACCTAGCGGTTATTAAAGGGTTTAATGACGGAGTTGAGCCGTTGTAGTACTGGGGAGTTTGTTGGGATCATTTGACAGCTCAGTGTTGGGTGTTAGCCCTGCTGCTGTGTTAGCTTGTGCTAACAGGGCAAACTTGTGTGAGGAGAGCGGCTCCAGAGGCAGTAGCAACAGAACCTTTGCTGATATGGTAGGGAGACAAATCAGTTCAGAAAAGGATCAGATTTAGGTATCATTTGACTGGTGATGTTTTAAAAGATGTGGCAAATCAATTCCAAATGTCCGTATCAGAAAACAGAGCAACACTGAGGGCATGAGAGTGCTGCCAGAGAGAGCAAAGCAGGCATGCCCTATTGCACAATCCAAATTTTTGTCAAAACTTGCCATTTTCAGCATGTACGTATATGTAGCTCAGAGATTGTAGTTTCCCGTAGCGAAGGGGATTTTTTAAATGGTGACACGCAGATAGCGGAAGAAAGGGAGAATGCCAGTCTAAATAGCCCGCCAATGGAAGGCTTATAGCCACTGTCTACATCCGCTGAGCCAGACTATTTTAGGCCCAATAGCATCACATGACAGGCCCGCAAACTATAATTCCACTATGTCAAATTGTCTTGGGGGTTGGGGCAATAGCCAATACTCATGTAGCCAGCGGATGTTCGGACAACAGTTATCTTAGCCAAGACTTCCTCTTTCACGTGCCAGTCATTGTTTACGGTCCGATTAGCAATTTGAGATGTTAGAATGGAGCT